TTGTCAAAAAATTGGGGGGGGGGGGGGGGTCCAGGTCCCTGCCCCTGCTGACAAGAATACAACTCAAGTCTATCATGAAAGAGAAGTCAACTTATCTCATCGCCCCAGTAAGAATATTGGTAGTGGAACTCCCAACTACCTTTTTACAGACATTTATGCATGTATTCAAGACTGATAATACAAATTTCATTCCATGATGCATTGCCTACATTCAAATTCTCATATTTTTGGTACACAAGGTTTTTGCTTAATTCTATACACTTAACTCATTCTTACAAGCAAGAGATAGGACTAGTCGAGATACTTAGAGAGGTAGGATGATGCTTGGTGTACAGGTAGGGGTTCACACCGAACACACACAAACAGGGGTGGGGTGGTTTTTTAATGAGGCGGGTCCCGCATGCTCGGCTCTGCCAGGCCTGGCAGAGCAACCTAATTCTACCTATATGGTCAGCTTTCCAAGAGAGGAGTTGTCCTCGAATCGAGAAACCGCTAGGTACACTTCATATTCAAGTATGATAATTAAAATAAACGTTTCACTTGCCATGCTATAACGAATTTGTAAACTACGTAATTTTTGTAAATGAGGTACACTTGAGAGATGAGGGACTCTTTCAAAAAGAAAGCACGCCCGTAAACTGATGACCAACGTACAAATGGCAGCTATATATTCATTAAATCACGATTTCAAAAAATATACAAGGTTCACTCTACAAAACCAATGTACAATTTCATACCGTGCGCTTCCGCTTTGATCGCTTACTTTTCCTCGGACCAGAAGGAACTGACTTAGTGCTGCTAGAAGCATATGCCTTATCCAGAACTTCCTCATCCTGCAGGGAACGTTAATCAGATTCTGAATACAAGCATAAGTAACATCCAAAATGGAAAAATAATCATTTTTATTATTCATGCAATAAAATCCCAAACATTTACAGTCTCACGTCTACATGATGCGGAATCAGATATCGAAAGAGAACATGAATCTACACTAGACTCAACCAAGACAGAATTGGATATCAATGGTCAATTCTATTCAAGTGGTCCCAAATCAATAAAATGTAACTTCTGAAGACTAAATTTAATTAAATAAATGTGCCCTTTCCCTGTCTACTTAAGATGAGGTGGTTGTTCAACATGGTATTAGAGCCAAACAAAGAAACTCAAGAAAATTGTGCACGTATGGCCTTTGATGAAAAATGACTGCAGCCTGCAGGTAAGGAGCGTGTTGAAGACTATATTTAAATAAATAAATAAATGTGTCCCTTCTCTAACAACTTAAGCTTTTAGATGAGGTGATTGAACAATAGCATACCAAACTAGTATATGAGCCTAAGCGTTGTGCGTATTTTAACTTTGTATTGGAGTTGGATTTGGATAGGTGTTATTCTATCAAGGAATTGAAGTGAAGAAATTTTCCAATTACTAGTTGCTCACTTAGTTATTGTTTGGGCTTGGTAATAAATCCCATGACATGCGTGTTTACCCATGCATGGCGCAGTGTAGTAGAAAAGTCTTGGTGGTCAGGCGCAACAAATAAGGTGTAAGTAGGTTATATAGCCCAACCAAAATAATGCTGCAAAGAGATGAATATTCTTTTGTGATTGGTCAACTTCATGATGAAACCATTCACCTACTTATTATTCAAAGTTCTAATAGAGGAAAATAACTCAAAAGAAAATTTTCCTAAGTTAACTAATACGCATGAAAAAAAAATCAAATCAAGTCTAACAACGGCTTATTTTTTCTCCTAAAATAAGTCTTTAATTTTAAAATGTTATCCAATTTACAGTCAAACTTTTGACATGAAACATTTACCTTGGACTTAGTTTCTTCATTTGACTCGTCTCCAGAGTCAGATGCAAGTGAAGTCTGGCCCTCATCTGCAGGCAGATTCCTACTCTTTTTCTTGTTCTCATCTTCTTTCAACTGCCTATATTAGAAGTAATTCCATTCAATAAAAACTTACTAAAATAACAAAATAGAAATGATAAAGAGACTTAAAATGAGGAACAAACCTATCACCCGTTCGTTCTGGCTGAGCACCTGATCGTTTTGCACGTCCAGCACTGATGATTCCGCTAGCATTCTCACTCACAACAGGCTTTGCACCTCCCATTTTGCGTAACCATATTTGCTGTGCTGTGCTGAGCACGTTATTTGTGAACCTGAAAAACCAATAATATTAGCGGATATCATTAAACCTAATAAAATATCATTCTAAAGTAAATACTGAATGGATGACAATATGTGGTTGTACTCAATGCTTAGAAATATGTATGGACAAGAAGTTTGTATCTATCCATGCATATAAATTAATTTCCTTGAGGAAGATATCAAGGGTTTCAAAGTTCAGCATTTCTAATATTCTTTATTCTTTTCCTAATGTGACATTGTCAGATTGAAATTCTATATATATAACCATTTATGATTTAACTGTTCATAACTAACGGTATATTGCATTACTTATACGTCATGTGATACATTGTATGATTAAATCACATCTTGGCATGCATGTGTCCTTTCTTGGATAGAAATGACAATTCGCTAACAAGAAAAAGTTATAGACAGGACAAAGTGTCCACAAACAAGTAAAGGAAAAAACTAATCATATAATCAAAATGTAGAGACTCGTCCATGCCAATAAAACATTATTGCAAAAAAAATCATAGATAAGTGTGAAAATATTTAAGGTTACTAAAACCAGGTTTTATTTAATTATCATCTAACTTGGTCTAAATCAAGGGTGAGTTTAGAATTGGGTGTGCGTTTATTGAGTTCAAATCCATATCTTACTATCAAATTTAAGGTTAATAAAACTGAGTTTTATTCGCATGCATGTCCGGAGCAGATCTGATCATGATTATCAGATATGGAACTGCAGCACAAAAATTAAGAAATAATAAACTCATATAAATTAGTGCTCCAACTTACCAATATATTGATAATCCAGATGGGACAGACAAAGAAAAGTAACCAATCATGAGGGGAAGGAATTTCAATACGAGAAGTGTGTTCTTCTGAGATGGATCGTCTGTCTACCAGAACAAGAGTTCGATATCAGGGTAACATGCAAGAAGGAAAAGTGCAGAAAAGCAAAGGTCAAACTTGTGTCAGATCTTACTTGGGGAGGTTTCATGATTTCCATTGAGACATACTGAGACACCACAAGGAGAACAGGTAAAATGAGGTATGCTGCAGTGTCATGCCAACCAAGTGGTGGATGTCCATCCTGCAAGATTTACAGCACAAGATTCATGTTACTTCTATTTTTCATGGAGCCAAGCAGCATATCATAGCTCAGTATCTGTATCTTTCTGGTGTAGAGGATGGAAAGCCACTTGTTAGCCTATAACTCTGGAGACCATCAAGTTTCCATTACCACAAATGGGAATAGCCAAGAAATTCCAGATCCACTTTGCCGAGCAGCAATAGTTGTAGGGCCTCCCAAAGAGGGAATCCAAAAGAATCCTTCAGTCAGCAGCCCCTGCATAAGAATGTTGTGAAAAACCAGTTTTAAACCATCCATTGCCGTGATTAAATCAGACGATACTGAATACTCAAATACCAATAAGCAACTTCCTATGTACCTCATTTGCAACATTTGAGAGAGCCTGATATAAACCTATCCAGACAGGTATTGTAGCCAAAGTTGGAAAACATCCTGTTATTCCATAAAAAGAAATCAGTAAAATGAGGAAGAGATAAAATGCATAAACTTGATTGATATTTTAGAGGTGCCAAGTTAGTTGCTTTGACCGGACATTTTAACGAGGAAATGACACTGTGGGCAGAAATACAGCAATCGGCAACCCCCATCACCCCCCCTTAAAACAACAAACTAATTCTTGTTCCCGAATAAACTTTGGGATCGACTACATGAAACATTTTCACCACTCATTCTATCTTATGCTAAAAGTCTTTCCCTTGGCAATGACATTGTCATTGTCATTTGCATAATCAAGCTTTAAATTCCTTGGTTTTTGCATAATCAAATTTTAAATTGAAGTCTCTAGTTGGTCCAAGTCTTGATAGTTATTTCTTATTGAGAGTTTTCCATTTTCTTTTTGGTGGTCAAAGAAAGAGAATAGAGTTGGTTTACTCATTTTATTAGAGGACAAAGTGAGATCTATAAGGAATGAACATTAACTCTCGAAAAACCGGACCAACTCAAAGAAATGCAAATCATGAAGAAAATAAGCTCTTCTGCTTCTAGGATGCTTTAGATAAGGTTATATTAGAAAACAAGAAGAAAAACCAGATGTACGGAAATCATAGATAGAGATAACTCAAAGAAAAGGACATGCAAATTGTTAATCAAAAGAATACCTGCCAGAGGATTAACCCCTGCCTGTTTATATAAACGGGATGTCTCAAGTTGTACTCTTTCCTGGAAAAAAATAAGAATGATACAAGGATTTAGATCACCACACTTATTGCAATTAAGTAGGTATTTTGGAACTAAATTTGTCCATATCTCCTCGTGCTACTAAACTTATATTTGACTGCTAACTGTTTTTTAGAGATCAACCACTTGCCTTTCTATTCTTACTACCACTATAGTGACAGCTGGATGATGTCAAATTCGTCATTTATCTATACTGTATGTTTGTTTCATCTTATGGAGTTTCAAAAATCACATCTCATAAATAAGAAAATTGCGATGTCATAAAATAATAGTTGCAGAAATGCTCACTTGATTTCCTGCATATCTTTGTTGGATTGCTTTGATCTTTGGTTGCAGGTTTTGCATTGCCAGTGTTGATTCCACCTTGTCGTAAAAGAAAATGTACATTATTTTACAGTACTAAAATTAACTCAAAACAACTATTGACATTCAAAAACCAGAAAATGGAAGAGCAGCCATATAGAAATATAAAATGGGATTATATCATACATAGAAAATAAGTGTTTCACTCTTAGTTTAAAAAACAACAAAATTGACCAGAGGTAAGTGAGCCCTTGTTTGAGCCCCATTTTTGGGTCAAAATACATTTTGGAATAGTGTTTTGTTGGAGAATGAGTGGTTAAAAAATAAGAAAAAATTTCGGGTTTACGTGTAAAATTACTTGATGGAAGAATATGTGGTTGAAAAATGAGTTTTGCAAAAAACGGGAGCCAACCATAGGCTGAGTGGCAGGAGCAGGTTTACTTGAGTAGACGTCTTTATTTTCACCTGTTGCTTAGTCAAAGGGAGTGTGGCGACCTTAACAAGAACAGTGAGCAATATAATAGCAAATCCATAAGCATAGGGCAGGTGCACAGTAGAAAGTCCATCCTTCAGTACCTGAAAAGAGTAAAGCAGGTTTTATTCAAACATAATGTCTAAAGCTTGTCTACCAACAATTGTAACATCCTGTTGAGCTTTAATTTAAATTGGATGTACAGCAATTAAAACAACCAGAAATAGGTTAACATTCTTGAACCTGCTGATTTTTTTAAAGCGAACGAGCCATTAGTGTTCACTAATCCACAAATAGTAAGTTGTATCCCATTATTTTTAATGTCTATTCACTTGGCATATGCTCCATTAAATATACATGTATGCAAACAAATAACTACGAAGTTGAGAGCGAACTTCACATCAAGATCAAGGAAAGTAGAAGTTGGAGATAAACGAAGCAAAAGAGGAACACCATGACTAGAGAATAGACAATTGTTTTTATCAATATGTGAATTGATTAGAATACTTGTAAATGCATGAAAATTACCATGAAAAATTCATGGAGGGGTATTCATTTACATCAATGGTTATAAATAATCCATGGGGAGCATCAAAACAATTTGACAAGATAGATTTTTGACACCTTCTCCTAATTTTATTTAAGTGCAGTAGCGAAGAAATGTACATATACCGCAAATAGTCAGAGCAACAAGTACCTTCAATTGCAAATAAACTTGTAACACAACAAATTACCTTCAGGACAACTTCCATGGCGTCAGAAATGAACCCAAACCACCCTCCACTTTTCTGAGCAGCAGCGTTCGCCGACTCAGATGCGGCGCCACTATCAACAGCCACGGCAGCATCAGCCAGTGTATAGAGAAGGCCCTCCACTCGGGTAACAATCGCGTTAAAATCAATTGAATTATCAAAAGAATGAATAGGTGGAAGCTCGTGGAGGCTATATTTCAATTTAGTACTTATACGTCTGCTCTGCGGCGGGAGACGGTGGCGGAAGGAAGAAGGAAAAGGAATCCCCAGGAAAGAAGGGGAGGAAATTAGAGTCCTCGCCATGAGAATTTCCGGAGGAAAATGAAAATAAATTTAGATTCTCCCGGAAAATTTTTGTGGAGAATTCAGAACAGAATTGAGCTTGTGCTCATGAGTGGAACGGGAAATGGGAGGAAAAAAAAATATTGTGGTGGAAGAAAGGAGGGATGAGAGAGAATATTTTATCCAAATATTTTGTTTGGATAGAGTGGCCCGGAGGTCTTTTTGGTCTTTCTACATATATATTGTCAAATAATACGTCACTCTGGTCTCTCTCTCAAAACCCAAACCCTAAAACGTTCTTCTTCAGATCTCGTCCTCATCCGCCGACCGGCGTATATGCAAACGCAGAAGATGTCAGATGCTGCACTTGACATGACTCTTGATGATCTAATCAAGAGCAACAAGAAATCCTCCTCCCGGGGTAGAGGCCGCGGCTCTGGTCCTGGCCCCGCTCGCCGCTTCCCCAACCGTACAGCCATTCGTGCTGTGCCATATGCCGTTTCCAAGGTCAGAACCGTCTTTTTCTCCCGTCGATCTTGATTTTATACACGACGCGCCGGAGTACTTATGTTTTTGATGAATTTAGGCCCCGGAATCGGCTCGGGGTCATGACATGTTCGCCGGAGGTGGTCGAGCTTCTAATATTGAGACAGGGACGAAGTTATACTTATCGAATTTGGATTATGGCGTCTCTAATGAGGATATTAAGGTGATTCCTCTGCTGCGTATTTGTTTTTTTCGCTCTAATTGATTTTACTCATTCTCTCTGTTTAAATTTGCTAGTTTTAGGTTCTATTTTTACTGAATAATGTAGTTCAGTGTTAATGAAAAAGGGAATTGTCTTCTCAATCTGCAGGAACTCTTCTCTGAGGTTGGTGACTTGAAACGGTATACCATACACTATGATAGGAGTGGGAGATCAAAGGTACTGTTCAAATTTTCTTCTTAATTTGGTGTTGCTGTGAAGACTGTTTTGTGTGGTTTACCAAAAACTCTTTCTCTAGGGTACTGCCGAAGTGGTCTTCTCTAAACGTCAAGATGCATTAGCAGCTGTCAAGAGGTACAACAATGTCCAGCTTGATGGTAAACCAATGAAAATAGAGCTCGTTGTTACAAACATTAACATTCCTGCTGCTGGTCTTCCACCTACTGGTGCTTTTGGTGATTCAAATGTAGCTCCTCGAAGGTTAGTATCTATTGATTTGAGAGACAGAGAAAAGGCGGGAAAAAATTTCATACAATCTGTCTGTTAAAATTGTTTTACAATGTGCAACACCATTAATATAATTAACAGAATGCTTAGCTGGCAAATAAACAGAATTAACAGAATATTAGCTGGCAGTTAAATATCTAATAGTATCTATGTTTTAATATGTATTGTTTCTAATGATCTCAAATAAAGTCTTGTATTGCATGGTTGAGGTAGGGCATGTATTGTGAAAAATATCACCAGTGTGTTTAAACTTTTGTTTGTGAGAAGTGGAAGAATGGAACTTTAAAAGCTCAAATTATGGATATTTCCTAGGCTGAAACCAGAGAAAGTCATTGGGCTTGTGGGACTAAAGATGGGTAAGGATGGATGAAGGTTTTGATCATGAGTTAACAAGAAATATAAAAATCAGGAGCTGTCTTGAGAACAATGAAAACAGTATCTGACAACTGTCATTTTGAGGACAATTAAACCATTTATTGATTATCCTTGGACTAGAGTGGTCTTTATACATGTCACTTCAGTATTTACACCTTTAATATGTAACATAAGAGCATCCAAGAGACTCTATTTGTAAAGAGCATATTTTATAATTAAGAGAGCATCCATAAATTTAGAGAGTAAAAATTTTAAATGCTCCAACAGACTGTCAGATTCTTTATATTTAACACTTAGCTTTACTACTCCAAAAAAATATTTATTGTTTTTTCCTACTTTTTATTTTCACTAGCTTTCCTTTAAATTATTATATTATTTTTCTTCATTGAAAATTAAAATACTTTGAATGCATTTAATTATAGAGAGTGGGTTTAGGAGAACCAAACTCACTCTCTAAATTAAAATGTCAATTTAAAGAGCTTCTTGAAGTATAATTTCAAGGGTTAATACTTTAAAATGGAGAGCGTCTCATATTTAAAGAATCTCATGCTCTAATAAAATATCTATGCTTAATATGGATTCATGACTCCATGCACGTGAACTGAAATAAGATCAACGTGGTGATATTTTGTTTTTTCCTATTATTCGGAATTATCTTTAATGGTGGAAAGGAAAACAAAGTACTGGCAGGAAATGACTTTATTTAAAATATCTTTCTCTAAGACTTGATTGTTTTTTGTGTATGATCTGAGGTTGTATCCCACAAGTACGTACCACTTACCTGGACATAATATTATTCCGGTTAGTTATCAAAATATTATCTTCGTGAGTATTTTTAGAGCAAGGATTGCAGATCATGACCTCTCGTCGTTCATAAAATTTCCATCGACGAGCATGTCTGGCAAAGCCTGGAAGTGACAAAATTTCAAGTAGACTAGTTACTGAATATGTTTGGATAAATTACTTTTTTCATACTTATAAGTAAAATGTTATTATTTTAATTTTGAATAATAAGTAACTTAATTCTAATTTTGACCAATCAAAAAATTTATTTTCTTTAAAGCTTATTTACTTAAAAGTGAACTTTTCATGCTTAAATATGTGCAAAAAAGTTGGTCATTTAAGTTCTTAACAAAGAAACAAACTATGAAATTAATACCTATAACAACTAAATTAATTCTGTATCATGTAATCTAAAATCGACCATGGATCTTTTTGCATTACTCATTTTGATTTATTGCGATGTATACTGAAAATCCAAATTAACTGAAGCTTTAGAAACAACCATGGAGCATGTTAGGTTTAGTATACTCTCCATCTTCTAACCTGTTCTACGGTACTTGTATTACCTATATGAACATACCTCTTTAAATCTAAAAATTCCAGAACCAACATAATTTCGTACATGTACAATCTATCTAGTTGAAAATTTAAATAAGCTGAACCAAACTTTTATTTTTGTAGTTGGTATTTTGGTTGTTTAATCTTTTATTTCTGAAATTCTGGTGATGGTACAGAGCACAAATCAGGGGCCGTGGTTTTGGTAGGTCACGTGGCGGTGAACAAGGTCGTGGATTTGGAAGAGGCCGTGGACAAGGAAGAGTTCGTGGTGAGAAAATATCTGCTGAGGATCTAGATGCTGATTTAGAGAAATATCACACAGATGCAATGCAGATGAATTGATTGGATCTACCTGAGTCACTTTTTTGCACTTGCAGCAGTTTGGTGATGCAAAATGTTCGAAGTAGTCTACTTTTGCAAACATTCAGCTCATTAGAAGAAAATGGAGAGGTCTATGGAGGAGTGGGGGTGTTAGAACCTTTGTTCAAACAACTAGGTGTATCTTGTTGATTGTACCTTGAATTTGATATGTTACATGGTTTGATGGATAAATGTGTGTATTCTGCAATTTAACTTTTTGTTTTATTGGACCCAACTTTTGGTTCACCTGAGATATGGGTAGTAGTATCAACGTGTGATTATGTTGTTCATAGCAAGGAAATATATTGAACTGCAAGGTATTGGGGTAGAATCAGACTGGAAGCCATCTGGCATGCACAGTTTTGAAGTGCAGGGAGTGCTTATGACGTATGAAACTACGGGGCAATCAACTTTTGAGGTAGTCTTCCTATTGTTCATTACATTAATAATTTATGTTCTGCCTCTTCTCTAATACGTTCATGAAGTGGTTTTGGTTTGCCTTCTCTGATTATGAAAGATTGCCGTGTCAAAAACATTGTTAGTCACCCAACTTCTTGTGTTTCCTTTTAGTCGTCAACATGTTTTTTTCCAAATTAGTCTCTGAACTTTATTTTTGTGTTTTAATTTCTGCATTCTGTCTCCATTCATATTCTGAATTAATGGAAATGATTGCGTGGCTTGAAAAATCCTTAGGTGCATTATTTTTATCGTCCAATTAGGCAAAAATGTGTCTTGTTGGACAAGTCATGCTATTGTCCTTTATATAAAGTGCATTTCAAAAGCACTTCTTGTCTAGTTATCCTCTTTTTGCATAGCTGAAAGATAAAAAGAATGCACTGACATAGATTTAATGCGTGACAATAATTTTCTGTTAGCCATGTCAAGAATTCTATATTATTCAGTTACTGTTCTTTTCCCCTGAGTTGACAATTCGTCAATTAAATGTTAATTTCTGGTTGAAGATGCTTTGCCTGGATTTCAAGATCTGGTCTTTGCGTGCTCTGCCATTGTTGGAAGAGTTTTGGTTATTAGAAGTGTTGGACAAATTCTGATGGTGATATTTGCCCATTGATTTCCCGAATACCTCTTATAGGAAGGGGTTCTTGATGAAGTTAGACACTGAAATTATCGTGGAGCATACCTCAGATGCAACTCAAAGGATTGGTCATTTGAGGTATGCACTTTCCCAAAAGAACGGTGTCTTGTGGCTTCTGTGTTCTGAGTTGGAAGCTTACAGTGTCAACAGACTATAATTATCGTAAAAATTCAGACATGGTATTATAACAGCTTTGGCATGCAAGTACAACCAGCTTTCGTTTTGATCAACGCCTTGTTTCATGGCATATAACTGGAGTCTGCAAGTTGCTGGTCATTGATGGCAATGAAAGATCAACTTGATCCATATATGCTGGAAATGCAATAATTTAGTTTCTTGACCAATCACCATTGGTATTGGAATGTAGTCTTTTTTTATTTTTCCTAGAATTATATTAGAATCTTCCTATTTTCCCCTTTATACAAGTGGAGCCTACTTCATGAAGATTCAAGCTCTCTAAATTTTCTTTCCAAATATGACTGGCTTATAGGTTGATTGGTCCCTTATACGGTTGTTCATTCTTAGATAAAGCCTGCATAGTTTCTTGATTTAATTTAAATATAATTTGTATTAATGCCGACTTGGAGAATTCTGCCATTAAAATTTTTGTGGAGCATGTTTAGGTGTTTATAAGATGGTCAAATTAGCTTAGAAGTCCAAATTCCACCCAAACATGCCGTGGCCCAAATTGAAATTAGCTCATAAATTTGGCCCATGTAACTTACCTTACAAGAAGAGCTGATCGAGTGAACTACCAAATTAATCTCTTCTTTATCGACATTTACCGCCCAACCAAAGGAAAAATCATTACCAATGAAATCTAATTTTCTCCTTCACTATGGAAGAATAATCTGCGGTGACAAGGGGTAAGTTTCTAGTATGGTTCAAACATTTTGAAGATAGTTCTGTACTTTGAGAATGGCCATCCAAACATGCGCTTATTGCTCTTCTGAAAGCATCCAAACATATAGGCTACTTATTTTACTAGTACGATAGCTCCTTTTTCTTAAGCCTCAACCAAACATGCTCATTTTACTAGTAAGATAGCTCCTTTTTCTTAAACCCCCAACCAAACATGCTCGTTAAAAAAAAAAAAGGGAAATTATACAATGGAAAATGAGAACAATACGGTGCACTTGTCAAACAATTCCTCATAGTATACAAGTTAAAGAATCATCAATATGGTCATTTTGAGCGATATTAGCATGACCTTTTAGTTTCACGAATTTATTGCCCCAAGCAGCATATCTTACATCTCAATTAGTAGTAGTACTAACATCACAAATGAAAATCATCCCAAATTTGAAATAGAAAGAGATTTCATTCCTTAAATCAAATCAAATCTAACAAGAAATAAGAAAACTGTACAAGCAAGTACCTATCTTCATCCCTCTAGTGCTCCCACCCACAATGGTAGATATTATCAGGTGAAGACAGTGAAAGCTCTTACCAGCCCATCAGTATTCTTCTAACCTTGTCTGCAATCTGACTCCTGACAACCATACTTGAAAGTTCAAATGTGCAGTTTTCATCTAGAAGGAATCTGTAGACCTCCCATTCTCGATCTGCTGCTGAATGCCTTCCAATTTCCGCCTATAAAAACCACACAATCGAGTACTTTCACTGCTAGTTTTGTTATAATTTATAATTTAGATTGAGGAAGTGATTCATGAATCCTGTTTGGACATGCTAATAAGATCTCAACAAGCCTTTGTCCTGGTTTTACTTACCGAGAATACGCAGATCCCGAGACTCTTTAGGGCAAAAGTAACATCATAAAAAACTCGTGGTCTACCCCTTCCAGAGAGCTCCACTGGATTAGCGACCAAAAGTTCTGCATCTGGACCACGATTTGTGATAACAACACGTAGTGGATGAAGCATTTCCAGCTTTAGACGGGAGCATAGTGCTTCTTGCTTCTCGGGATCCACTATCTTCTTCCCATCTTGATGCCGAATAAATAGGTCTAGTTCTCGGTGACCCTTCTGGACTGTTGAAAATCGACCATATGCTATCTAAAAATAATAAAATACCACATCATATCAAACATAAGCTTCATGCAATTGTTACACGTTTCTCCAATGTAGCATGATATGGAAATAGAGGAAGTATGTTTCGGTTCAGGTAGTATAGCTCAATAAATTTGATGTTTATATGGCATCAGACAAAAAATAAAACAAGAGGCTTAGGACAATCAGTAAACTGGCACTAAAAGCAAGGTCAGTTCACAGACTTCAAATCAAGGGCATGAGTGACTGATGGATTGGTTAAACCACTTCAAGCTAATGAGTCGTAGTAAATTTTTTATGATGGTATCTCCAAAGAATTGAACAAGATACGCATTGATTTGAAAAATTGAAGTCGACGAAATTATTCAATTGACGGTTAAAAGGCCAAAAAGTCAACTTTCTTCCTAATAAATCAATGGAATGCACGACCTCCATATAGCTCAAGGTTTTCATTGAGGTATATTAATCATTGAAAGGAACTCTGTTTAGGAAAATAGGTACAGAAGATAAGAGAATGCAGTGGCATATTATTTCACACAAGATGATATGGCTGAAAAACCTAAAACCAATCACAGACAGTTGGAATACAGTTTCAGTCAACAAAGTTATCATTTGAGAATATGTTTGGCTAGGCTTAAAAAGTTCACTAATAGGTAATTCTACTCTTAACTCAGAAGTAAATAATTAAGTTATAAAAGAAACAATTTTTTATTGGTCGAGATTGGAAATAAGTTACTTGACCATAAGGTGACAGTTACTTTCAAAGTAAGTAAATTTTGTACACGTAAAGAGTAAGAAAATAAGCTAACAAATGAAACATTAATGTTTACCATAACTGTTACATTAACAAAATCAAACATAGGCACAGAAGAAATTGTAATTAAAACCTGAATGTTGCAGTCTTTCAATGTCCTCATGATGTCATAAAGAAAACCCTTGTGATCTACACAGTTGATCTGAAGCAATGTATGAGATGGACTCAATGAATTGTCAATAATCACACTAGCTTTCTTCAACTCTCTGACATCTGGGCTAAGAGCCTGTGAGCGAATTTCCTTATCCGATAGTGTGCATCTAAATAACTCTTCAGCGACAACGGAAGACGTAGAAGATATACCCAGAAGATTATCGTATTGAGGGCCTGCTAACTGTAGTTCACAACTCATACATGATTCACCGAGAACTGCATGCAACTGCTCGCAAGTTTCATTTTGTCTCTCTTTCGTGTGTAAGAGCTCCCTGAACATTTATATGAGATTGTAATTGAAACAAAGATATATAAATAACCAAACCAGTCATACGAAAAGACGCTAACATATATGTCCTACTGTGGAAGGTACAAGGCTAAATAAAGGCCAACCTACAAGTGGCACTAATTTCGAGGGGAAAATAATCCTAAACGTGACATTGGCTTATGTGTTATTGACTTAACATTAATTTTCTACTTGTATCATACAATAATTCCCTAATTGAATGGGTACATTTGCTTAATGGACAGATTGTTGGTCATCATAGCAATGCCAAGAGACGAGGAATTAGGATTTTCTACGTGGGAAATTTATCCGTTAGACCTGGTGCGCAAGTGCACGATGCCACCTCTCTCACAGTATCTTCTAGTGTGTGAGAAATGGTGCACTTGTGCTGTTGTGCACCCAGTCTAAAAAGATGGCATGTAAATCTCAAAGCAGAATTTCTACTATTCTGCAGCATATAACATTAACAAAACCAAGAGCAGCAGTAAAGTCAACTACCATCATCTGCTTCCTTAGCACCACTTGCACCCACAGCTCCACCCTCGCTCACTCCAACAGCATTATTTCACCTGCCACTCCTCACCGCAACTGCTCATATACACCTATTTGTAACCACTATTAAATTGTCTTCGAACATAATAAAGAAAGAGTAACCTCCCACCATTTTTTTCTCGAATTGCAAACTTGAACCATTTGCTATCTAAAAATTTTGGTGTACTAATGCACCATTCAAGTCAGTGTGAGGAAGGGGGAGGGAGGCAGGGAATTTACCATTCCAATTTCTGAATAAAATTAGCATTAACACTGACCGACATCAGCATGTGGGCCATGCATTGCTCGGAGATTCTACAGACATTTGTGTCAATTTACATATCAAAACAATCTTTCACCCAATTTCCAACTCTTAAACGACAAATAAATTTTAGTGCACTTTCTTGAAATAGAGTAATTGTCATTTGAAACTGCAATTAGTGTAAAAGAAAGAAAAAAACAAATGAAACCTAGCCTAATGCCTCTCAAAAGAGAGCCATTCACTCACCATTTGGTCCAGTTCCATATGTCACAATGCATCGGAATAAATCTTATTGCATAGAAAATTCAAGATTGCGTGCATGAAAAGTTCCTCTAAACCTCTTAATTGCAAGTAATTTTTCCTTCTCTTGTCAGCTGCAAATGCTCTATCCGTGTCCTCAATTGTCAGCTGCTAACCCAATGATGCATAGTACATATTATGCCTTAAGAGCATAATTACACACAAATCTCCCATCTTTGTGTTAATAATTTTTTTTTATTACCCCTTGCTTTTATTTCATAATTTGGTTCAAACAAAATACTTGAGTAAGAATTTTTCATGCTTGCAGTAGCTAAGTATAGGTAACCATTTCTAAGGACACCGATTGAAATCTATCAGACCTCCACATTTCATAAGCGTTACAAACCTTACTTCTATCCATTAAATGGTACTTGAAATCCGTTGCAGATTCTTCTCACAAATTAGCTAAAACTATGAACATGAGTAAAATATAAGATTTATTCCAATACCCAGGAGGAGTAGAGCAGAGTTCGGAAGATATAGATAGGATCGGAAGATATAGATAAATGAACAAATAGGCAAGTGTTCCTGGTATTCAGGCCTAGCCCTGAGGTGAGGCAAATGAGGCCGCCGCCTCAGGCCCAAACGTGGAGGGAGCCTCATTTTTTAGCCCAAATTTTTTTTTTTTTTTTAATATCAATCTAGCCCAACTCTGGAGGCCCAATTGTAACCTAAACTACTAAACACTCACTGAATCACACGACTTCCGTCTCCTTCCTGCTCTCAATCTCAAAAATTCATTCAACTCTCCAACTCCAAGAATCCACCAATCAACTGTTCTTCAAGCCGACGCTGAAGTGGTGTTTCCAGACTCCAGTGCAGTCTCCCACTCTTCTTCTTCCTTCCTTTAACCATTTACCTTTTGTTTTCGGGCCTATCCCTAATCAGTAATCCATTTCGGCTTTCGAGTTCCGTCCGCCGCCGCACGCGACTGCGATTCGCTCTTCAAGGCCATCAGCCGTCGACAGTTAATTGCTTCCTGCTGGTAGTGGACCTGTGGTAGTCTGGGTCTGCGACTGGCGTGGCGTCTTCTGGAGTTCTGCTGGTAAGTGGTAAGTGGGCGATGAGCCGCGTAGCTGAGTATCAGTTTTGTGGCTTCTGTTTCATTGTCTAATTTCAGTTTTGTGGCTTTTGTGATTTGTCTAATTTCAGTTTTGAGCTGATTAGTGTCTAATTTCAGTTTTGTGGATGTTGTGATTAGTGTAATTTCAGTTTTGAATGCTT